CAATCGCCCCAATCAAGCTCGCCGGAGCCCATTGGACGCTGGCGAGATTCCCCAGCAGCTACCTGCTTCCTCCCTGTAGAGGCTGCAGCGGGCTCGAATCCCTCCACACGCACCATTTTCCTGATTGATCTCGAAGCATGCGCGCGCCGGCATCCGTCCCCCGGCTTCCGGAGCATGCTCTCTCTCTCTTCTCTCTCGCCGTTCGGAAAGCCCAACAAAGAACATCCATCCATCCATCCAGCCAACAAGCCATCGGATCATATCTCCAACCCCCGCCTCTTTCCCTCCCCCTCCCCCCCAAAAATTCCAATAATTCCCTGCGTGCGCGTGCAGCGAAACCCATCATCTGCCGGGTCTCGCCCAATCGCTGCTCCGGGACGGCGCGTCGCGACGTTGCATGCACCCCTCCGACGCCGCCAAACCTTTACTCCGCGTGACCCCACCCCGTTCAACGTTCACCGTTGCCCAGCCCAGAACCTGCTGGTGGCGTCTGCCATTTGCCTCCCACACAACTGCACAGCAAGTAGGGCGCAACGCCATGGGACGATTCCCTATCTCCGCCTTTGCCTCTCTGTTGTGCTGTGCCACCCTACCCGCAGCAGCAAGAAAAAACGGTTGCAAACTGTCTGTTTGTCTCATTCCCCACGGTCCAGGTCCAAATCCAGTCTCGCCTGCCTGCCGCTGCCTCGGATAAGCATAAGCTTCTCACACACGGCGCGGCAACAGGTCCCGCAGCTTCGGGAGAGACCCTGTCTGTCTCACTCTGACACACCCCGCCGGCCCTGGGCCTGCCTGACCTGACCTCGGAAAACGGACGAAACAAAGCGGAAGGAAAGTCCTCTCCCAGCCCCGGAAGCAGCACCCACCCCGCAAGGACGCCGCCAAGCCAACACGATGCAAGTCATCATCAGCTGGTTGGACAGCGGTGTGACGACTTCGCACTGTTCGCGCAGCAGGGAAAAAGCCCAGCCCAGCTCATCGGGCAATTCAATTCGAGACGCGGACAAACGAGGAGCCTCGTAACTAGTCGTAGCACCGACCGACCTTCAAAGTGTCCGGGGTGGCACACAGTAGCGCAGCGCAAGTTGAAGGTTGGGGAGGATGGACGGGTTCCAACTGCGGCATGGTGCAGGTTGCAGAACGCCGTGTTAGGTTTGTGTCCCCCGCGGCAATGCTCGCATTCACCCCCCCACCCGGCGCCGAACTTGAGCCAACAGGTCGAACGACCCTTTTACTCATGGGTTCTCGAAAGGGAGGCACGCGTACGCGGCGACGAGAACACCATCATGGGTCGGTCGCCTCGGGGAACAACAAGCCTTGGCCCGATTGGCTTGGCGTAGCTCCGATGCCGCCGGTCCGGTGTTGAAGATGACCGGCAGGAGGTCGTTGTGACACAAGATCGCAGTGGTGCACAGCACTCAGTACACTTCAGGCCGTTCTCACCCGCGGCCCCAGTGCGCACTTTGTCACCGAGAAGGACGAGGTGTATAAATTCGAGCAATAGATTATCCATCTTCTCCGCCGATGTTCGCTTGCCAGCTCCGCAACGATAAGAAGTATGGAGGTGCATGCCAATGCGGGGGTCTTTTCTTCCACACCATCTTCCGCCGAATATTGAAGAGGCATGCCGCTCTGTGGTGCGGCAAACAGTGCCGAATTACCTAAGGAGTCGCGCATTTCTGCCACACGGGAGTGAAGTTGACTCGGAGACCCTTAGCCAAGTCTGTGCTGTCTCCGCCGAGCTTCCCACCCGAAAATGTGCCATCGGCCCGCTTCGCACCAACAAGACCAGCGCCAATTCGGATGCTCAGAAGCGGTACGTCGCCACTGGCAGGAACACACGATGACCAGACAGTGTCGGGCTGAGTGTCAAGCGTTTCCTCGAAGATATTGTCCTTCAGCTTGTCCCTACCAACGGTGATGTTTGCGGACTTGATGTTATCATTAGCAGGGGCCACATCTTTCGCGGAACGGTTGAGAACTAACCCCAGCGGCGATACCGCCCAAGTTGGTGTGGACGGACAGCGAGATCTTGGTGTCTGCGTCGATCTCCGCCCAACCTCCAATCGTGATACTCTTTACACGGAGTTGCATGCCGACAGGCCCGTCGCCGAGAGTAATTTGTTCCACACAGAACTTGTCTGCCTCTCCCGGAGTCTCATCTTCATCAGGCAATGACAAGCCCCATTCGCGGAAGACGAACACCGGCGCGCCGGCCTTGGTTTGTTGGCTGATGGGTCCCGCACCAATGGGACATCCTGTTCCGTAAACTGTCATGTTTCTCACTGTGACGGCGGTAGATGATGGAGGTGGGGGCGGGGTCGTCTGAGGAAGGGAGGACACTAGAGAGGATAGCGACAACAAGAGGGGAACCCCCCACAGCTGATTCGATAGCATGGCTTGTAGTAACGAGGTCGTGTCGAGGGAGCGCGAGGTAGTGAACGTGCTGAGTTTCGACGACGACAAGCTCAGAGGGAAGGGGAGAGCGGAGTGAGAAACGCGTGAACAGGCCTTTGGGCAGCTCTCGTGGATATACTCTCGCCATCCATCCCGGCTCGCGGGACGATAACTTCAGAAACGAGATACCGCGTCCCTCCCGGAGATCCCCATGTTCCATTCACAACAGCTTCCAGGTCGCGTCCCAAGACGGGCCGTCTACCTAAGCCAAGTGTGGACATGAAATATTGAAGTTGCTTCAGCCGCCGTGACTTGAAAGGGGCGCACCAATGGCGAATGAGCCCGGCGTTCTGGGTAATCCACTCGCTTGGGCGGTTAAAGACGGTTTGATGGTCCCGTTTCTAATTCGGAGCACTGGGCTCGAAATTTCTCCGGGTCTGCCAAGCATGGTAAATGGAGGCCGACTCTTGGGTCGCTTGCGAGTGTATGCGCAGTCCAGCCCCGCTTGTCCGTGTTTGTTTAAATGGCAACGATGATAGAGAGATCGCGACCTGTATATCGAGCGCCGAAGCCCTGCAGCAACGGTAACAATGATAGGCGATCGAGCTTTGATCGACTCGCCTCGCTTCGAAGGTGTGCTGCTCGGGCCGATTGAACCTGCTGAGCACGAGAAGTCCGGCGGTTGAGATATTCTCGAGTCCATAGGAGGCTTCCGGTGGCCAGACCGATATTCCCATCGCGTCAAAGTGAAGCGCCACCAACCAAATGGCGGTGCAACTCCCAAGCACATGCCAAGAGTTGGAGATCTCCCGACGTCAAAATGTTTCTTGGTGTTCTTGGCGAATGGGGTTGAAACAACCTGGCCAACTTGGCGATGCGAGCCCCTGCGCTCAACCCCAAGTGTTTCAGCCACCCCAGTGAAACATTCCAAACAACTCTCGATTCTCGAAACCAACAACAATCCCTTCCATCTTGACAACTTCATCCAGCTTTAGAAGCTGCAGATAACATCACGACAAGAGCGATGCGGCTTTCTCATTCGCTCCTCTACGCGCTGTCCGTGGGCGTGGCGCGCTCAGATCCGTCTCTCTGTCCATGGTCACCACCAACGCCATGTCTGGCTCGTGACACACAGCAAGAAAGCCTCAGACAAGAGCCGCTGCCATCGAAATGGGAAGATGTCGGAAAGTGCGTCAGGAAGTGGTGTATCTTTGTCAACCGTGGTTTTGGCGGCGAAGGAATGGTTGCCGTCACGACCAGGCCAAATCTCCAGAAACTCCTGAAGGTTGGGGAAATCAGGAGGAAGGCCGCCAGCGCCCCATCTTATTACGTCGACCAGGTCCCAGGGAAAGGCCTAGGGGTCGTCGGCAACAAAACCCTGCATCGCGGAGATCCCGTCATGGCTGAGTTCCCGGCTTTCCTGGTCCATCGCGAGCTCGAACGATCCACCATCCCACAAACCGAGCAATTTTCCCTGCTTGACGATGCTTTGAACGAACTTCCGCCGGCGCGGCGCGATGCGTTCCTGGCACAGATGGGGCACTTCGGCGGGCACCGCATCACCGACATCCTGACGACCAACGCCTTCCAGCTGGACCTCGGTGGAGACGACGGGCACCACTATGGCAGTTTTCCAGCCGTGTCTCGCTTCAACCATGACTGCCGACCCAACGTGGCATTCTACATCAGCGATCAGCTGCAGCACATCACCACCGTTGTGCGCGACGTCGCCCCAGGCGAGGAGCTGTCCCTCACGTACTTGGACTCGTCGAAACCTCGTGTCGAGCGACAGTCGCGGGCCCGGAACGCGTGGGGCTTCGAGTGCGGGTGCTCGCAGTGTCAGTTGTCGGACGTGGCGTCAGCCAAGTCGGACGAGAGGCTGGAGGAGATCAAGGAAATCGAGAAGCTGATATCTGACCCTGTGAGCACCGGGGTCACGCCGGGACTGCTGCGAAGGCTCGCCAAGCTGTACAAGGATGACCGGCTGGAGGTTGAGGTAGGCAGCGCGTACACGCTCATCGCGCTCAACTTCAACATGCTTGGAGATGCGGCGGCGGCGACGAGATACGCCAAGCTGGCGGAGGAGGCGGTAACGATCGAGGGCGGACCGGATGTCGGAGATGCGAAAGCGATGCGAGAGCTGGCAGCAGGCCCAAAGGAGCACTTCACGTGGAGGAGGAGATTGCCGGCTTGAGTGTTGGATGCCCGGGGTCCCGGTGATGTGTTGTATCAATCGTGGTCTCTTGAAGTTTGTTTGGGAGTGGCGCCTTGGATCTGGCGGCAGCAAACGGTTCTTTGTGATGGGGCTTGGTTTTCCAGCGCATGACGCCTCCAACAAAGGGCATCCTTGCAGACGGGTGCACAATAGAAACAAAAGTGAAGACCGTAGGCGGGTAATCAAAGAGCCGGGTGGTCGCCCAGGAATGAGGTTGAGGCCAGAGATTCGATGTCGACGGCAGTCATGTGTCCAAGCAGGGACTGGGACAGTTAGGAGAATGTGGAGAGAACACCAAAAAACGACCCACCCGCAACCCACTCTCGGTGACTCGGAGATCGAGAGGTTGCCCGAGGCGGAGAGCAGACTTGAACATCAAAAATGGAATTGCCCAGTAACAGGATTGAACTGTTGACCTTCGCATGATTTTTCAGGACTTGAAATAATTGTTTCGAATTATATTAGTACGACGCTCTAACCAGCTGAGCTAACCAGGCTAACCAAGATGATTTGATGGAGGGCGAGTCGAGAGATCCGGCTGATGTGAGCAGAATAGGAAGGAACAATGTCAAGGCCTGATGAACTTGCAGTCGAAATCACCCTTTGTTCCCTCATATCAAGGTCAACTCTTCCACACGACTCCAGCCGCCCTTGAACACTCGTCCGTAGTAAATTCCCGTTCTTCGATAGCCAACCGCTGACTTTTCCAGGACGAGAGCGACCTCGCCATAGGACTTGCCCCCCTTCTCCAATATTCGCAGATAAGTCCGGTCTCGCGGGTCAGGAAGGCTGTTCTCAACATCTAGAGAAATAGATCCGTACACACCATCATCCTTCCCCTGAGAATCATGGGCCGGACTCGCAGGTGGGTGTTCTCCCTTCCACTGTGCACCATCTATCACGGCGCCTGTTACAGCTAGCCTTCTCCCCGGGCCGTCAACAACCCTTGCCTGCACATGTTCGATGGCCTCTGGGTCCACAAGCTTGACTGGACAGTTCAGACAACCCCAAGACCAAGTTGGAGCCCTCGAAGATCGAGACTGCTCCGGGGCGCGGCTCCTCCACCCAAGCGTCACCGGCCAGGCCAAAGCGATGCCGAAATGGAAATTTCCATCAAATCTTCCCCCAATTGCGTCGGTTATCCCCTGAAAGGCATTCAGCCGATCCTCCGGATTGGTCATCTGTCGCTCAGTGTAGCAGAGCAATATTTGGCTCCAGACTCGGCCGATCTTCGACGATGGACTGAAATCTAGGAGCAGGTTGGGACTTGGGTTTCGGTAGAAATACCCCTTGACAAAGCTTCGCCGAAGTGGCTTGAGTCCCAACTCGGTCCGACATTCAGTAAACACGTCGTACGTCGAGAAGACGACCTTGCGGCGCGCCAGCATGCTTTCCTGAAGGGCCCAAGCCCGAGTGTCGAGTGGTTCTTGCCCAACCCTCCTGGCTGCTACATTCCTTGCAGCGACCAACTGGACGTTTGTGATAGGTCCGGTCGGACGTTGGATTGGAAATGAGTATCCCTCAAGAAACTGTTTCCATTCTTGTCCGCGGTCTTCGTATAGGAAACATTCGGTGGACGCCGAGGAGCCGGCTGCTACAATGACAGCGAACGCGTCAGTGTAGATACGTCCCATTTGTCCGATCTCAGCCTGTATGTTCTGGGCGTCATCTTGAACGATGCACAGCGCGTCGACCCAAAGGTATTTGAACCCCATCATTCGGGTTGTTGTGATGGCATCCTGGATGGCGCGGCCGAGCTCGTTGACGGGAATCGACCGCTCCAATGACGGCAGGGATGCCCTCGTGGCGGTTATTCTTTGGGGCCCTCCCCAGCAGTAGCTGAGGCAGAGATAATCCGCTTGTACCGAGAGGCCCTTCGTGGTCACCAGTCGCGCAGCCACACCAGGCGTGCCGGGGCTCACATCGATGACCCGCGACGGAAACTGTGGAACCTCGCCATCTCTGCATGCCGCGTGCTTGTGGCTTTGACGGCATTCGTCGAGCCGGGTGTGAACAGCGTTGAAGAGGGCTGGGGCCCCAACATTGCTCAGTGGTTGATGGCTACCAACGAGGACCGGCGAGACAGTATCAGCTGTGGGAAGAGAAAATCAGCAGACACTCGTGATAACGCTCCTGCGCAGCACAGCGCAAACCAAGGGATGCGATGCAGGTGACCAAAGTACTTGCCTTCCTCCGCCGTCAAGTAGAGCTCACCCTTGGGCAACCCCACCTCGCCTCCTTCGTGCTCGGTGTAGACCTCCAACTCGCTTGACAAGGCTGTCTTGGGCCTTTTCCCGCGCCTCCTAATCCCGGTGATTCGTGACCCATCTGCTTTCGCGCCCATGGACAGGGCTATTTCTTGGCACAAACGACACGGGGAAGAAGCTGAGGCTTTTTCGCGAATATCCTGCAGTCGGCCGTGCTGGAAACGTCCGCCATTTGTCAGTCGCAAAAGCTCGTCGTATGTTGCCAGAACCGCGCAGCGATCGCAAAGACGACACTGGCCCTGCGTCGTCATCATACGGAGGGGAAAGCAGAAAATAGTTGAGAATGACGATTGTCGTTGGAGTTTGGTTTGCTTCTGCTTGCTGCCTACTGCAATGACATTGTGGAGTGGGGCCTAACCCCAACTGCACCTTCCCCTCTCGCCCAATCGAAGTCTCAACTCGAGTTGGAGTTCAAGCACCTGCGGTTAGGTGCGGTGTTCAATCGGCGGGCAGCAGCAGTGTCAAGCCCCTCTCGGGTTCATCTTTTCCAAAAGAAAAAAAAAACACCTGGTGGTATCTCACCATAATTTCCATCAATGAACAATGTCATGAGAGTCCGGTACTGGGGAAAGAGACTATGATACCTAGCTGCCAGCTCACCTTCGTGACGGACTTGTTTGTTTCGAGTGTCATCGGCATCAGTTACATCAAACGGGCCCGATCTTACCAGCAGCAGTCGATGCCACTCACATCTCACCTCCTGCATCATGGATCATATGAGCGGGAGACACTGGTTCATCGTCCATTGGCTTTCGTGCCAATAACCTGCTCATTTGGCTGTAAGACGGCACGGCAATCCGAACGGCTCCGGGCGGGAAGAATGGGGAAAGGCAGGCGCTCTTCGCTGACCCATCGCAAGGATCGACACTCATCCACAGCGACTGGCCGGCCTGTTCCGGACGGCTCGGGAGAAAGGTTCCATCTCGCTGCCCACGGTTTATAGGTACCCCGGCATATTGACTCGGGCAAAGGGATCCACGCCGTTTCAATGCATGTTCATCTCCAAGCCAGCAGTTGAGGTTGTGCACGCACTTAGGAGGTTTCGTTTCAACTCGTGAACTCCGAGTTTGGGCATCTTGAAGCATTCAATCACACAAAACAGGGGACGAACAAAAATGCGACGCATTAATTTCCTCCACGCCGCCTTACTGCTCGCCGCTAATGTGGGCGGGCGCGTAATCTCGGCGGGTGTCAGCGTCGGCACTGATGCGGCCACCAGCGCACTCTCGGCACGGGGATCTGAATGCCCGCCCTTCGAAAAGGGGAACTTCAACATCGATGCGTACCAACTTTACCCCGAGAACATGGATTGGGATGCCAATCTGTGCCAGGTGTACATTGGGTGGGTTCCCAGTTGAGATTCAGGGGTTGCCGCAGGAAACTGGAAACTAAGGGGTCAAAACAGAATCCTATTCAACGCCAGTTTTGGCATCTACGATCCATACAAGGACCATTTGGACGTCATCTCCTTCCCAGGTAACACCCTCGTCAAGGAGTTCCACGTCGGCGGTGTGGCATGGGACAAATACACTGGCCTTGCAACGGTCATCATTGGGCAAGGCAACGCCTTCGAAACCGCCGGAGCCAACATCAGCGGCGACAACATCATCAAAAAGTACGACCCCCGCAGCAAGACCTTTCTCTGGAGCCATAACATCACCGAAGTCGCCAAGGGGGAATACGGCGGCTTCAACGACATCACACATGACGCCGCCGGGAACACCTTTTTCTGCGGCACATACCCGGAATCCATTCTCAAGATCGACCCCAAGGGGACTGCTGTAGTCCCTTGGTACCTCCCCGAGACCATCAACCACACAGTGCGCGGATACTCAGGGATAGCCTCCCACGGAGATACCATCATCACCCTAGACAGTCGCCTGGGGAAGTTGTTTCGCTTCGATGCGACCGCTGCGAAGGGGACACCGACACCCGTGCCACACGTACCAGAGGAAGCCATCACCGGTGGGGACGCCATCCGCCTGCCACTCAAGTTCGGCGGCAATGTACTCCTGATCGCCGAGAATCGCCGCGGCGTGTCGGTCCTGCGCTCTCAGGATGCAAGCTGGAAGTCAGCCGAGTACCTCGGACTGATCCCAATGGATCCCAGCCTCCCATCCGGGGCGCTCACGACGTCTGTGACACAAATCGGACAGAAGATCTACGCCGTGACAGATTGGTTCGGCGACCAGATTGTGGCCGGGACGGTGGCCGGGAACAAGACTTCGTTCCCAATGATCGATATCACGGCCAGGATCGACGCCCTGCTGGCTTGAGACCAGATGCAGTGTGATAGTTGGCTGGGGAAAGTCCGGGTCGACAGTGAGTTGGCTGGAAAAGTGGCAATTTAGGTCAATCTAGACCAAACATGTGGCGTACAGAGCGCAGAATCGGGATACCCCAAGAGCTGGGACTGCTTGCAATCCGGGGTAGTGGTGTGTGCTTGTCCCGTCTCTCGCCACCTTCCCCAACCTTGAGGGGGCCAATGAAACCAGAGTGTTGATAGCTGTTAGCTCCAGGGTATATTGCTTGCGATGGAGATGGAGGGGAGCAAAAGGCGAAAGATTGACTTGCAGCGTGAATCTAGACCGGAACTCTTGACTCTCTTTGCTCCCCGGTGCGTGTAGATATCGAGCCACATCCGCAACCAATATGCAGGTGTGGTACTATCTGACGAATTCAACCGCTCGTTTCGGAAAGTCACCAATTTCAAGAGAGCGCTTCGGGGAAGCAGTGTAACCGAAGACCAAACTGCATGTGTTTCTGCGGTGAGAGGTAATCTGTGTACTGGGTCTTCGTCCCCCCGTTGGCGGTTTTCTATTGCTGACGCAGCCGTGTTGTGGCTTGGGGCTCTGATATCAGGACATAACCCGCGATCCCGCGGTGGCAAGCCCGAATGCCAAACTGGCGTGACTGTCCTGCGAGTGCAACACCGCAAAGCAAAGGTACCGGAATGGCCACCGAGTCTCAAGTCTTTCCAATAATCCTCAGCTCTGCAGAAGGAGGCAAGGTGTGGCTGGTTTGTTTCATGTGGTGTTATCGGGCTTTCGGACTTCTTGATGTCGTCAGCTAGCCTCCGAAAAAGGACGAATGAATCCGCTTTAACCAACTGTTTGCTTCGCCCGGACTGCTAGCGCAAAGGCGGCGCAGTTTCCTACGTGCCCAATCAGGGGCGCTGTGCCGCAGTGCATGGCATCCCGCCCGCACTGCGAGCCGATCGAGGCAAGACG